TATTATTTTCAAACGGAAACAATCCTTACCTATATATAACAAATCTTGAAATGCTGCCACAGCACTGTAGCTGGATATATAGTCAACAGTCTAACGTGTCAACAAAGACAGGTGGCCACAAAGACAGTTGCTGCAGCATTGATATTCAAATAATTTATGTATACTGAGAACTAAAATAATTTCAGAGAAGGACTTCACAGAGCCAAATACGCATTTTGAGAGAATTTATGACATGTTAAAAACATGGTCAAAATTTTAAATATCACAAAAAATGACATATGGGTTGAGTCTCACTACTAACTAAACCGGGGCTGTGGTGTCTCTCACGGTGATATTGCTGGAATACTCATCCTCCTACTTATCAGGGCACAAAAATGAGGATGTTCCGAAGCTTTGGTTACTGGTTAAACCCCATCTTCCAGAGGCAAGGCTGTTAACTGACTCCAACAGTCCAGTGTCCAGCCCTTGCCGAACTAGCCTGGAATTATGGAGGGTTTTTTTTGCTGGACTAACGAATCTATGCATAGTCCAATCAAATCGCGTAATGAAATCGATATCTGGTATGTAAACTGCCGTTCAGATTTCGGTCAATTGCAGGATTTGCAAAGCAAGTGTATACTGTCAACAGTTATTTTCCAAATCTTTTCCTGTTTTTAATCAAGGTGCTCAAGTGATCTGATGCACTTCGCTACGTAAGACCTGTTTTATTACAACATAGATCATGATCATAGATCAGAATGTCTTCACTGAGCCTTGCCATTTCGTCTGAAGCAAATACAAGTGGTATGAGAGATGGAATCTGATTGGTCAATAGAAGGGATATAGAAGGGAAATAACTTGTAATAGCCACTGGTGGCACAACGATTGAGCCCAGAAATTCCAGCCTAGTTTGATAAGGGTGGAAAATGGACTATTACAGTCAGTTAATTCCTTTGCCTCAGGAAGATGGTTAACCCTTGATACACAGGAGTTGAAATGAGGGACTTGTGCCAAGACTTTTTTCCTTAAATGATCAACGATGGCTATTTAATATATGTTTTCTTGGCCAGAGAGGCTACCAGAATCGAAGTGTTCTAAGCAAACACACAATATACGCGACTCAGGTGTAGGGCAAGTGATCAACAGAAAACATTGGCTGCAGAACGCATATCGGTGCTCCAGGTGAGACAACTCAAGAAGCTGTGAGATCATTGTGAGAGTGTATGTACACCAATCCCATAGGGGAACGGGGAACGGGGAACACATGTTGTCTAAGGCATACAAGTCACTGTGCAGAGTTGTGTCCCTTAGGTGCGCCAGGAACCTATGATCAAGAGTTCGAATAGGATCATGTTGCTTAAAATACTTATCAAAAGAGCATAGCAAGCAGTTATTGAGTGCAATTTGTTATTGGGATGAGTGAGTGAGTGGATATTGTTATCGGCAATAGTGTGCTGGGGGCCTGTTGTCTCTGGAGCCTCACAGAGTGTAGTATCTGCTGTCGTGGGTCGTTAATCAGTGTAGATGCTCAAGTACATTGGGAAAATTTAGACACTCTACAGGTTTCCTACATTGTATTTAATATGACAAACTGACTAATCAACACAGACAAATCTGCTTGACAAATTGGATAATTTACTTTCTGCTTTCTTCTTCAGACACTCGCTGAATTTATGAATCATGAAATTAAAAATATCTGGCCACCTGACAAACTTGGGAGTAAATTCCAAGCTGAGAGTGATAAAATGCTGCTGACAAGAGCAGTTGTTTTATATCATGCAGTTGTTTTTTTATCATGGTCGCTATATGGCTGAAATAATGCCAATGCGACATTAAATTTTAACTCGCTCACTTTTTTATCATGTGTCAAAATCCATCAACATCATAAAAGAAAGTATAGCTATTACTTTCAATATAGCTATTACTTTCAATACTTTTCAATATCGAGCTGTTATGAAGTTAATGCCCTAATATTTTTTCAATTGGCTACTTTTGCATACAATCTACATTTCTTCATCAATATGAAGATGGTGAACTTAATTCCTGGAGAAACGTCAATCAGATTAAGCTGTTTATAGTACCATGTGTATAATTGCTAACAATATCGTCATATGTGGCACTTGTTATCCCAATAATTCCCACTAGTTTCTTGGACGGCTACAACAGAGTGACAAAAGACACTAGAAAATGTTAGTTCAAATACCAGACTTTTCCCCTTTTTTGAAGCATAAATTACAACAGTGACGATTGTCAGTGTCTTCCGGGAAATGACTGTCATCATTGCTGTGACTGTCTTGAAGCACGAAGGATATCAGGAAAGCATCACCGCTTGTGCAAATACTTGCACACATCACACAGCCATCAGATAATGCGAACTAATTGAAACTGGCTGTTCTAGCAATCTGTTACACACAATCAAACACTTGGCAAAAGTATTCCCCAAATTTCCTCCATTCTTTCACGTGGTGAAGAAGGCATGTTTCCCGTGGTGCATGAAAGAGACAAATATTTCATTGTTTATTTCCCTGCTGAATGTTTGTAATAGTGCACATATTGGCGAGCCATCATCGCATATATTTCTTGTAATGTACTGGAGTAGCATCACATCTTATCAGATTTCTGGAAACATATTTTTTTCATCCCTGTGTTGTAAATTTATTAATAAGCCATACATCAAATTCATCTGATGACAGATTAATTACTCTCGGGTCAGGATCCAGGTCACAGGGAATACAAAAAATGTTTTGCAAAACAGCAGTTCCAACTTAATGGCATCAGTGCCTCATAAACCTTCGCTCAGAATTTGGTCATTCATCATCCGTCTGCCAAAGGTTAAACTTTTGATTGATGCAGTATTTAGAAATAGACATGTCAGTAATACATGACCTGTTCATTTGGAAAATGTTGCAGATATTTCTACAATTGAAATCAACTTTTCCAGTGAGTGAGTGAGTGAGTGAGTGAGTGAGTGAGTGAGTGAGTGAGTGAGTGAGTGAGTGAGTGAGTGAGTGAGTGAGCAAGAGAGAGCAGTCAGGGTTATTTCAGCCCTAGCTTAGTGAGTGAGTGAGTGAGTGAGCGTGCGAGAGAGAGCAGTCAGGGATATTTCAGCCCTAGCTTCCTATAAATAACTGAGCCTCTATCAGACAAGCCAGTGGTTGATATTATGAGCAACACCTAAAGCCTTCAGGGTATAATGACTCATAGGTTACAAGGGATCAATGCAAACCCAGAATACCCCAAATACAGTGTTCTCTCGCTTTTGTGCCCTTCAGTTTAGTGAAACTAGGTCATAGCGTGTGGTAACGCATGGCTCCCAAAATTTACTTACATTTTTAATAAACTCAAGGTTTACACTGACACGATGTTTTTCCCCTATCTCAAAAAACATTGTCAGCTGCTCACCGCGAGCATGTAACACCGGAAATACCAGTCAGCGAATCCAAACTAAAGTACACAATTTAATCCTATTACACCATCTGGTCATAAAATCGTGTTCATTGTATATCTGGACTTATGTATGTAATATATTTTATGAGTTTAATTTAAAATTTCATTCAATATTGTTAACATGTATTTTGGCGAAATCGTGTGTGAAGTGATCAGTAGATAGCACAACTCACCGTCACTCACTGTCAGATTAGCGATATTTACGCCTTGAAACGAACTTCAGTTGCCAGAGAATGGATACATATATCATTAATGTCATACTTTGGTTTGTTAAAAATCATATTTGTGGCAGTAAACTATTATATGTCGACATGACGTTTTCGCAATCGAAATACATATAGCACAGGAAGTCCCTACCGTGACTGGTCATATTGTGCCATAAGTAAAAATATCCTGCAATAGCAAACAGCTGAACCAAAGTGCTACGCTTATAGTTCTTATAATTTTAAATGTATATAGCAAAAGCTGCTACTAAAATAACACAATATAATATTCCTGATAACATAATAATTTTAGATACAATTTCTTCCGATCGCATAGCATAAAAATTTGTTGTATTTTTTTAAAAGCTCATAACACTCGATAAATCTTTTGTTTACACTCTGAGTCATTAACAACTACTATTCTAATCTTTTTTTGAACTCTTAAACGTGCATCGTAGATCGTGTTAGGTGGGCACAGCATGTGCTGTTGTGTTGCTCATCTACCCCCTACGACTCCACCTTGGTTTTTAACCACTGATCATCTGTAACGCTCTTCAATTATTTGGACCCCAAAGTTTGCGTTGTAGCGAGGGATCACTAAAGTACATTTTGACACTTTAAAGAGTGAGTGAGTTAGTTTTACGCCGCTTCCGACATTGTACCTATTTATGGAATCGAACCAAGGTCTTGGCATGACAAACAAATGCCTTAACCACGTGACTTCACTATCTCCCCACAAACACTTGAATGAATTCATAATGACACATATTTCTAAAATCAGAAAAAGACTTCAATAAATCCCTTCCTTCAAAGCAAATCAAACACTGATGGTTTTTTGTGTGTTTTGGGTGTTTTTTTTAACGCCACGCTCAGCACTTCTCCAGTTATATGACAGTGGTATACAAATAATCGAGTCTGGACCAGACAATCCAATGATTGACATAATGAGCATCGATCCACGCAATTGGGATATGATGACATGCATCAACCAAGTTGAGCAAGTCTGACCACCCGATCCCGTTAGTTGCCTCAAACGACAAGCATAGTCGCTTTTTACGGCAAGCATGGGTTGCGGATGACTATTTACACAGATGTAGATCAGTGTAGCCATACAATGACACAGTGAAGGTTGCTGAAGTCAGACTGAACCCGTACCTGGAAGTGACATTTGCTGCACAATAATTCACACTTTCTCAGTGTCGAGGTAAGCCAACAGAATGTATGCAACGAATACAGTGAGGTTCCCACAAGTTAACCTTGTAATACATTACAGCTTAAACTACCGGTAACAAAAAAGTGTTGACATCAATTTGACCTGTTTTTCACACCTGGCCTTATGGAGGTGATAATGTCTAAGTAGGAGATACGTACTGCAACTGCTAAGCTGAGGATGGCGCCGGGGTAGTCGAGTGTGTGGACCACTTGATATGATGCCACGTCATAAATCTTCACATGCCTGGAAAAAACCACACACATCAATTAGTTAATATGTTAATTAGTGGGAGTGATAATTATCAAGCAGATGGTTAAGCACGTGCTTTCAAGCGTAGCATGTATCTGCAACAACATACACAAGCAGCTTGTTGATTTAAGACGAAGCTGGATTAGTGATACTGATTGCAGTCCACTTGCACACTGCATAACACTCCCCCAAAATATAGTGAGTGAGTGTGTGGGTTTAACGCCACTTCGTACAGTAATTCAGTTAGAGCACACTGTGTCAGCTTAGTGTGGGAGGGAAGCCCAAAGTGATGCTGGGCTCAGACTTCTTCACTTCAGTGAAACACAAGCACGTGTATGGTGCTGACAAACCTAGAAACATAATCAGAGCGAACTAGGATTCGAATCATAGGATCATAGGTGTCTGGTGTGCTTAAAAGAAGCAACTGTGCACAGCAAATTGCAACACCTTTGACGATTGGGTCATCCGTGCTCCCCCGACCTCGAAACATAAGTGAGTGAGGGGTGTTATGCCGTTTTCAGCAATATTCCAGCAAGGCGACCCGTGAAGATCCGGGTATAGAATAGGTCTTCAGCAACCCATGCTTGCTGTCAGAGGCAACTATGCTTGTTGTAAGAAGCAACCAATAGGATCGGGTGTTCAGGCTCGCTGACTCGGTTTATGCATGTCATAGTATTCCAATTGTCTAGATCGATGCTCATGATGTCAATCACTGGAATGTCTGGTCCAGACTTGATTATTTGCAGGCTGCCATCATGTAGCTGGAATATTGCTGATTGTGATGTTAAACAACAAACAAACAAATAACAAATCCAGCAAAGGACATGTCAAATAAAGTATAAATGGATTTCAGACAAGCTCCCATGGTGGGAATTAAACCAAAGTTTCAGCTTGTTGAGCAAATGCTTTAACATTAGGCTTCCCCACCTACCTCACACAATGAAAAACAATATTAAAAAAATATATCAAATTATCGAGAGGTATCATGATAGTATTGATTATCTTGGATGTGACATGTCAGGCCCGTGAAGTTCCGGGGTAGAATAGGTCTTCAGCAACCCATGCTTGCCGTAAAAGGTGACTATGCTTGTCGTAGGAGGCGACTAACGGGATCGGGTGGTCAGGCTCGCTGACTTGGTTGATGCATGTCATCGATGCCAATTGCGTGGATCGATGCTCATGATGTCAATCACTGGATTGTCAGGTCCAGACTCGATTATTTTACAGACCGCCATCATATAGCTGGAATATTGCTGAGTGTGGTGTTAAACAACAAACAAACAAAAATATGACAAGTCAGGACAAATGGTTTGCGAAATTTCATGGAAGCATACATAAAATGTCTTTGAGTGTTTTACACAAAAAGGTTAGTTAACAACTACACAGATCACAAGTGAAGAATCTCACTGTATGAAAAGCACACAAAACAGATCGATATCGACATGCTATCGACGGTGTGTGGCTGACGTGATAATGACAAAGCAGTACATGCAGATTAAGCCATTAGGGCAAGAAGTTGGAGGGACTACCACTGCAATTTATATCCACCCTTGACAGATATTGACAAGGGTTGTCCATGTCAAGCGTATCTGACACTGACAGCAATGAATCACGGTGTCCACAGTCAGCTGAAGTACAACAACAAAACAGAAATTGCCTGTCAGTGACAGTTGCAGATTTATCATCCCCGTCCTAGTTTTTTTTGTGCTTTTCATTAAAGGGTGATAAAACCGAGCACAAAGCTAAATAGAGGGAAATGGGGAATTCCGTGAGTGCTGACAAGAGAAAATGATATAATAGAGCCAGGGTTGTAGATATGCGTGCAATCAACGAGACATTCACACACAGCAGTAACTTAACGCTGCTTTTAAATTTCACTTCCGGTGTTGAATTTTATCTTTGATGCTTTTTGTATCTTTTTGAAAATTTGAAGATTTCTGGTTATTTCAACACATAAACATGGCCCCCTATAATGTATTCCACGTGCTGACGGAGTTTTTGTGCTTGGGTAGATACCATCTGTCATGCCTGTGAGAGAAGAGGGGCCGACAGAAGGGGCACCGCGACCCTGGTGTGTCCTAACCTACCCCCATCCCCGTTCATCCCACCCTGACCATCAGCCTAGTGCTTCTTCCCACCCAACTGACTCCATAATGTTGCTTCCTACCCTGACCCCACTCCCAATGCTTCCCACCCTGACTCCCAACATAGTGCTTCCCACATCCACCCCTACAATAGTGCTTCCCACACCATCGCCTACCCTAGTGCTTCCCACCTCGACCCCCCCTAGTGCTTCCCACACCCACCGCAGTGCTTCCCATCCCACCCTACCCCATCCTCAATCCCAGTGCATCCCACCCCATCCTATATCCTGCTGATTCCCATCCCCCATCCTCAATCCTGCTGCATCCCACCCCATCCTCAATCCCAGTGCATCCCACCCCATCCTTTATCCTGCTGCATCCCATCCCATCCTCAATCCCAGTGCATCCCACCCCATCCTCAATCCTGCTGCATCCCACCCCATCCTCAATCCTGCTGCTACCACCCCATCCTCAATCCTGTTGCTTCCCAACCCATCCTCAATCCTGCTGCATCCCACCCCATCCTCAATCCTGCTGCTACCACCCCATCCTCAATCCTGCTGCATCCCACCCCATCCTCAATCCTGCTGATTCCCACCCCATCCTCAATCCTGCTGCATCCCACCCCATCCTCAATCCTGCTGCATCCCACCCCATCCTCAATCCTGCTGCTTCCCACCCCATCCTCAATCCCAGTGTATCCCACCCCATCCTCAATCCTGCTGCTTCCCACCCCATCCTCAATCCTGCTGCATCCCACCCCATCCTCAATCATGCTGCTTCCCACCCCATCCTCAATCCCAGTGCATCCCACCCCATCCTCAATCCTGCTGCTTCCCACCCCATCCTCAATCATGATGCTTCCCACCCCATCCTCAATCCCAGTGTATCCCATCCCATTCTCAATCCCAGTGCATCCCACCCCATCCTCAATCCTGCTGCTTCCCACCCCATCCTCAATCATGCTGCTTCCCAACCCATCCTCAATCCCAGTGCATCCCATCCCATTCTCAATCCCAGTGCTTCCCACCCCATCCTCAATCCTGCTGCTTCCCACCCCATCCTCAATCCTGCTGCTTCCCACCCCATCCTCAATCCCAGTGCATCCCACCCCATTTTCAATCCCAGTGCATCCCACCCAATTCTCAATCATGCTGCTTCCCACCCCATCCTCTATCCCAGTGCATCCCAACCCATCCTCAATCCTGCTGCTTCCCACCCCATCCTCAATCCCAGTGCATCCCACCCCATTCTCAATCCCAGTGCACCCCACCCCATTCTCAATCATGCTGCTTCCCACCCCATCCTCTATCCCAGTGCATCCCAACCCATCCTCAATCCTGGTGCTTCTCACCCCATCCTCAATCCTGCTGCTTCCCACCCCATTCTCAATCCCAGTGCATCCCACCCCATTCTCAATCATGCTGCTTCCCACCCCATCCTCTATCCCAGTGCATCCCAACCCATCCTCAATCCTGGTGCTTCTCACCCCATCCTCAATCATGCTGCTTCCCACCCCATCCTCTATCCCAGTGCATCCCAACCAATCCTCAATCCCAGTGCTTCCCACCCCATCCTCAAACCTTGTAATTCTATTCCCAACCAACATCCTGGTGTTTCACATCCTGACCATGACCCCCACCACAGTGCTTCCAAACCCTACTCTGGTGTTTCCACCCTGACCCCCACCCTAGTGCTTCCCACTCTGAACCCCATCCTTTCCAATCCTACCAAACAGTGGTGCATCCCATCCTTGTGCTAACCCATCCCATCCCTATCATAGTGCACCCAATCCTACCACCCCTGCCCCCATGCATCCCACACTACCCACACCCTTGTGTTCCCACCCTACCCCTACCGTGATGCATCCTGGCCTAACCACACCCCTCAAATCCCGCCCCTGTGACATTTCCATGAACAGTTCTTGAACTGCTCATGAAAAGTTCATGGGCAGTTTGCGAAAGTTACAATTTACACACAGGCACATGCACAGGCACATGCACAGGCACACGCACGCGCACGCACGCACCAGGATATATATACATGGATACAAAATTCATAATTTGTAGAATTTGTTGAGTATGCAAACATTTCGACCTTCATTTTACTTATGAATTTTTCATGAACTACTGAACTTATTTTTGCACATGATTTGTTCTTCATATTTGTCATGAACTTTTCATGAACTACTGTGTCTAATATTCGTCTAATATTCATCTGTTCTTCAAGTGTTCTTGAACAAGTCCATGAACTTGCAATATGGACATTTAATGAACAGTTCATGATGTTCATGAAGAACTCACTTTCAGAGGGGCCCCCTAATGATTAAATACCTAAACATAAATGATAAAACTCCATACAATCTTTAAGCTCCATCAGACAGTACAGTGTAGCAGATAGAACATCAAACACCACTGCACCTGCTGTACTGGTTTAACAGAGTTGTTTGTTCTTTCCAAACTATACTACTCAAAAAAAGTTAAAGAACACACATTTCTTTCATATGACTATAGCTAATCTGTCATGGCATGATAGATTAACTATTGCAACATGAAAGAACATGTTCTTATTAATAGCATCTACACTTGAGCTCAATTCAGCAGTCAAAGAGTAACGGTCAAATTTATAATTAGTTAACTGCCAACGAGGGACAAAACACAATTTGACATGCCAAACGCCAATTAAGTTTTAAATGAGCCAAACTAGAGCAACTAAATCAATTCCACACAATCAGTCCTCTGAGTGTTGCCCCCTTTGGTCAAGGGAGTGACACAGTAGTCTTATGGGTGAAGTGTTTGTTCAGTATGCCAAGGATCCCGGTTTGATTCTGTACAATGTATTCAGACCATTTTATCATCCTGTCTCTCACCCCCAAACTCACAAAAGCATAGCTCACACAAAATAGAAATA